CCTCTCCGGGACTCTCCCCCTCCCCATCGACGGCCCTCCCTCGAGGGGAAACGTGTGCCTTCCTGCCCGGGGCCGCTGCTGGCTCCGGATGTGGCGGCCTGGATATGGACCTGGCCAAAGGCGTGCCCTTCATGTCGGAGGCCCATGCCAGATCGTCGGGCGCATGGTCCGTCGCTTCGACCACCCCCCCGGATGATCGCGGTCTAAAGGGGCTCCTGCCGGGAGCCGGGACCGGGAATCCAGCCTCCGATCTGTCTGGGCCGCCGCCGCCGGTGCAGCCGCTTTCCCCGGGTGCCCTTGAGCCCGGGCTGCCGATCCTGCCATCGGTGTACCAGTTTTCTCTCTACCCCCTCGGTCATCCGCAGCCGGCCGGCTCGACGGATGACACATCTGCCTCCTGTCTGGCGGACCATGCCAATTGCCGAAGCATGCCAAGCGACATCACCACTCCGGTGGTCCACCCCCGGACGCCTGGCCTGGCTCCCCTCCCGACGACGGTTCTCCCCCCGCGCCCGATCAACCACCATTACCACACCTTCCAGTTTGAACATAAGTCCTCCCTGGGCCAGGGGCCCGACGACACCATCGATCTGATTGTCCCGGGGCTATACCTGTCCGGAGTGGGGGGGGCCTGTTCGCGGGATCGCATCGACCGTCTCGGCATCCGGACCTTCCTGAACCTGAGTATGACGGCCGAAACGCGGACTCCCTATCTGGTGGGATCGCCGGGTGCACTGTGCGCCCCGAGCTCCGAGACATTCGGCGTCTGCCGACATGCCGGACCGGGGCTCGAGTGTGCCTATGTCAGCCCTTCGGCCGCCGAGCGCCATGGGAATACCTGTGCCTTTGATCGGCCTCCCATTGTGGAAGCAGACCCGAGCCTGCAGTTCCGAGCCAACCCCGGGCAGATGGACATGCTGGCGCATGGACGCTTTCGCCAGCACCGCATCAATCCCTACCGGCCAACGATCATCCCGGCCGCCGATGAGGGAGCCCCCTACACCTTCCATTGGCTGCCGATCGAGGATCGCGCGCAGCAGCTTGTCCTGCCGGTTCTTCCGGCCACGGTCAGCCTGATTGCCGCGTGCCTGGAGCGCGGCGAGCCGATCCTGGTCCACTGCAATGCCGGGGTCTCTCGCAGTGCCACCGTTGTTCTGGCCTTCCTTATTTGCCATTTCGGTTGGACCCTGCGCTTCGCCATGGACCATGTGGCTGCCTGTCGGCCGATCGCCCGGTGCGTGTGCTTCCCGGCAATTGCCCTGCCTTCTCCATTCGCCTGGGTACACTGACATTCCCCCCCCCCC